CCACCTTCCTGGTGGTTTGGCTGGAAAGCTAGGGCTTTTGTTTCCTTATACTTCAACACATTTTTCACAACTGTGTCAGCCTCTTTGGCCATACTGCAAGTGTGTAAAGGATAAAAGAAATGGGGATTCTCCTCTTTTTACTTGGAACTAAATTTTTTCTGTCAAAGAATAAGGTTTTGAGAGCTTTGGGAGCTGCCTGGGCTGCTGTCATTGCCTCCATTGCTACACTGGTATTGTTTGGGGCCAAAAAGCCCAAGGGATTGACTTCCTCCACTCTCCTTACCCATAGGAGCTCCGTTTCCTGCTTCTTAGACCAGAAACAGAAGGCTTCTCTGGAGCTTTTTCTTGGTGCATCTGGGCGCCACTTTAACTTTTGAGTCCAGACTGGAGACACTGGGAAACTTGCCTCCAGTATGGCGGTACTTCGAGTTCTGGTTTCCATTTCCCATCTGCCTGCTGCCATTTATGTTTTCAGATTCTCATAGACATTTCTCCAGTGTTTTTAGTTGCATTCTGTGGGAGAAATGGAGTGGAGTGTGCTTATTTCATCTTGACCTACTTTGTATTTCAAATCAAATCAAAGGATAATTTTTTTATATGGATTTGCATTTTTCACCCGAGAAATCAAATACATTAGATAGATGCTGGTTTAATGCTTGCCTCTAGTGGTTCCTATTTTAATTGTATTAAAACCTTGAGCTATAGAAGGTGGCCATATATTAACATCTCATATTTATTCTTAAGCCTTTTCTGGAGCCTAGAAATTCCTAGTTTTCTCCTGGTTCCAGCTCTCATTTTTAATAAAGAATAGAAAGTCTCTTTTTAAAAAATATATATTTTTATTGATTTCAGAGAGGAAGGGAGAGAGAGATAGAAACATCAATGATGAGAGAGACTCATTGATTGGCTGCTTCCTGCATGCCCCCTACTGGGGATCAAGCCCACAACCCAGGCATGTGCCCTGACCGGAATTAAACCCAGGACCCTTCAGTCTGCAGGTCAATGCTCTATCCACTGAGCCAAACCAGCTAGGGCGAAAGTCACTTTCTTGAATAAACCTTTTTATATTTGCACATATCACTCAGTTGGCCTTGGGTTTTCTGAATTTGTCCTTGTAACTTCTTTTACCAGTGAAGGGATTTGTAATGATCTACTGTTTTTGTAACTGAAGATCAATACTAAGAACTCAAAAGCAATGTATAGTTTCATTTGAGTAACTTTTTTTAGGATATACTGATGTTTTATACTTCCTTTAAATAGATGCTACGTTTTAGGATATTCATTCATTGTAGGAGAGGTTAACAAAATAATTTCTTCTGAGCTGAGTTGACTTTTCAGAAATGTATTGATTTTGTATTTTGCTAATACACATTCTCCTTAATAGCCACTTAGTTGGCTGACTAATGTATGGTCGTTAGGAATACGCTTGCATGCTCCTTGTGCTGGAGCTTCATTTCCTTTGTTATCTTCTCTACTTTAAGTTGTCTTTATCATAAGACATCTTCCGTCTGACTACAGAAAAATTCCTGACCTCAGGGTTTTTTTGTTTTGTTTCATAAAGGTGCTGCTAATAGACCCTGGCCAGGTAGCTCAGTTTTTTGAGAGCACTATCCTGATACACCAAGGTTGTGGGATCAAAACTTGGTCAGGGCACATACAAGAATCAACCAATGAATACATAAGTAACTGGAACAACAAATCAATGTTTTATCTCTCTGTAAAAATCAATAATTAGCCGTAACTGGTTTGGCTCAGTGGATAGAGCATCGGCCTAGGTTTGATTCCAGTCAGGGTCACATGCCTGGGTTGTGGGCTTGATCCCCAGTAGGGGGCATGCAGGAAGCAGCTGATCAATGATTCTCTCTCATCATTGATGTTTCTGTCTCTCTCTCCCTTCCTCTCTGAAATCAATAAAAATATTTTTTTAAAAAAAGAAATTTTCTATTCTTTATTAAAAATGATTAAACTTGATTCTCTCTCATCATTGATGTTTCTCTTTCTCCTCTCCCTTCCTCTCTGAACTATAAATAAATTAATAATTCAATGATTAAACATTTTTAAAAAGATACTGTTGCTAATAATTTAAAATAGAAAAAATGTAATATATGAGGTAAATTTAATCTTTCAATAGATATTTTTGGTAAGTTTATTCTTTCAAAAATATTTATTAAGCACCTATTATGTAATACCAGATACCAAGGGTGCAAAAATAAATGAAATTTCACAGATTGGACATTCAGGAAAATTTTTGACCATTGCATGAAGTATAGTCCAGAGAACTTCTGGATCCAGAAAAAGGGTAGTGAAATCTCGTTCTGTGTTTCTGAAATAAAATATTTTATTTATGGATATCAAAATGTCTTTTAATGAATTTAATTCCCAGAAATGTGCTTAAAAATATGTAAAACTTTGTACCTAATCTTAGAGGAAAAGCTTTTAGTTTCTCACCACTGAGTATGATGTTAGCTGGGAGATTATATATGGCCTTTATTGTGTTGCGGTAATTTCCTTCTAGTCCTAGTGTGTTGAGAGTTTTAAATTATGAAAAGAGTATTGCATTTTGTCACATGCTTTTTCTGTATCTGTTGAGTTGATCATGTGATTCCTGTTTTTTTTAAGATGTTTTATTGAAATTTTTAAGAGAGCAAGAGAGAGAAACATCAGTGTGAGCGTGCAACATGTCAGCTGCCTCCTGCACAACCCCCACTACCGCGATTGAATCCGCAACCTGGTTATGTGCCCTGACCAGGAATCAAACCTGCCTTTTGGTGTATGGGACAATGCTCAACCAACTGAGCCACACCAGCCAGGGTAGTAATAATCTGTTTTAAACTGATAACAACTTAACTTTAATCACATACAAAAACTCTATGCTTTTACTTCTCTCTGGTCCCCTCCTCACTCCAGCATTTTTTGACTCAAATAAATAATTTTAATGTTTTGTATATAAGTTTCTTTTCTATAAAAATGGGAATAAGCTATTCTGCTAACCCACAGGTTCTCAAAGTGTGGTTGCACACCTACGAGGGTCCCTGAGACATTTTCAAGGGATCCATATGATCGAAATGATTTCTACAACAATTCTAAGATGTTATTTGTCTTTCAAAAAATATTTTTTTTTATTTATTTACTTATCAATTTTGTACTGGCTACCATGTTATTTGTTTTCTTTTTACATATATATATTATTTTATTGATTTCAGAGAGAAAGGGAGAGACAGACAGAAACATCAATGATGATAGAGAATCATTGATTGGCTGCCTCCTGCACTTCCTCCCTCCTCCTCAGGGATCAAACCCACAACCCAGGCATGTGCCCTGACTGGGAATTGAACCGTGACTTCCTAGTCCATAGGGCAGTACTCAACCACTGAGCCACGCCTGCCAGGTTGTCTTTTGACTCTGTTAACATTTGCAACAGTGGTGGGAAGGCAGCTGTGGGAAGACCTGCTGGCATTGAACCACATTGTACTAGTGGTCACTGTGCTGCCACATACTCTTAGGAAAACGGAGTGCCACCTTCATTCACGGTGTCTTTGGAGAAGTAGATAATTTTATTAAATCTAAACCCTGTTTAATATGTGTGATGTGGGAAATATGCAGAAGCACTTGTGCATACTGAAGCATACACTTGTGGTAAGGTAAAACACGTGTAGTTGGTTGTTTTTGTGAGTTAAAGTAGCTGCTTTTTAATGGAATACAATTTTTACTTGTAAGAATGACTATTGTCAAACAACAGTTATTCAGACTTGGATGTTTGGCAGACATTTTCTTGGGAATGAATGGAGTAAACTTGTTATTCAAGAAGAACAACTGACAGTATTTGTTGCCTAATGGTAAAAATTAAAGCTTTTTAAGTGAAAATTAGAATTTTGGAAAGTTTGTATTCACCACTGTGTACTTTGACAGTTTTGAAGAGTGTTCCAGCAAGATCATTGGTGATGCTAATGATGTGATTTCTTTTCTACCCTATATGATGCAATGTTTCAATATTTGGGAAATCTGCATAAGCCAGTAAACCAATATTTTCCAAAATATTTGGAAATATATGATGTTACAAAATTATGAGTAAAAGACCAGTGGATTTTAATATCTAGACATAAAACATAAACAAAAGCTCATTAGGGTCCTCAATAATTTTTAAGTTATCAAAGTCCTGAGAATATGAAGTTTGAGATTCATTGTTTTAACATTAAAGGGTGTTTTTTTTTAAATGTATTTTATTGATTTTCTACAGACAGGAAGGGAGAGGAATAGAGAGTTAGAAACATCGATGAGTGAGAAACATCGATCAGCTGCCTCCTGCACACCCCCCACTGGGGATGTGCCCGCAACCAAGGTACATGCCCTTGACTGGAATCGAACCTGGGACCCTTCAGTCCACAGGCCAACGCTCTATCCACTGAGCCAAACTAGTTAGGGCAACATTAAAGGGTTTTAAAGGTCAAATGAATGTAATATTCATGAATATTAAATCATTTGTAAAATATTTTAAATGTAGATTTAGAAATAATTTTTGAGCTCCTACTGTTATATTGCTATGCAAATCCTTCAAGCTCAGACTTTGAAGAAGAGACCTAGAAAGAGAACATGCATGCATCATTGCTATTGAGGAGCTTGTTCGCTTAGATGAGGAGTAGGGAATTCACATATAATTCCTTTGTTCCACAAACCAAATAGTGAAAAAGTGATAATATGATGAGGCTTGTTTTGTCCTAAATATACTTTTACTAGTATATATGCTTATATTTGTAATATATATGTATGCATACACACATACTTCTCTGTGGATCGAACCCGCAACTAAGGCATGTGACCTGACCGAGAGAAGACCCATGACCTCTTGGATCATAGGTGTGTGTGTGTGTGTGTACACGTGCACGCGCACATGCATGTATGCTTGGGCTCACAGCAAACCTAAGCCCTGCTGTTCATGAATATAGTCCATTATTGTTCAAGTTTCATTTTGGTTTTTGAAGTTTTCCCTTCTTCCCTTGCAGGTATAGAACAAGATGCAGTGAATACTTTTACCAAATATATATCTCCAGATGCTGCTAAACCAATACCTATTACAGAAGCAATGAGAAATGATATCATAGGTAAGCAGTGCTTAAAGTTACGGCCAAAAAAAAGTTGCCGGTTTTTGGTTTTTGATTAAGAGAATTTTTTATGAACATGGAATTTAATATACCCTTTCCTAGTTTGTTTTCAGATATCTGGCTGTGGCTCACTCACAAACTTTCTCTCATATGTTAGACCAAATTCTTAGACTTTGATTTGAATAACAACAGCAAGAACAATAATATCACACATTTATTGAGTATTTATTGTGTCCCAGACAATATTCTAAGTAATTCTCACAGATAAACTCATTTACTCTTCTAAAGAATCTTGCAGCCGTAGCCGGTTTGGCTCAGTGGATAGAGTATTGGCCTGTGGACTGAAGGGTCCCGGGTTCGATTCCTATCCAGGGCACATGCCAGGGTTGCCAACTTGATCCCCAGTAGGGGGTGTGCAGGAGACCGCCAATCAATGATTCTCTCTCATCAATGATGTTTCTATCTCTCTATCCCTCTCCCTTCTCTAAAATCAATAAAGATGTATTTTTTTAAAGGAATCTTGCAGCATAAATATAGTTGTCCTATATAATAAAAGCCTAATATGCAAGTTGTCCCCTTGACTTGGAGTTCAGTTGGGTGTTTGACCAGGGGGGAGGGGCCAGCTGGCCAACTGCCTGTGGTTCCTCCCCACAGCTGGCCTGGTCCGATTGGCTCCAATCGGGGTGGGCCAGCCAGACCCAACCTGTGCACGAATTTGTGCACTGGGCTTCTATTTGTTTTATAAATGAGGAAACTGAAACATGGAGGGTAAGTAGTTTTCCTAATTTAGTAGAGCTCAGACATGGCAGCGGGATTTGAAACCAGACCCCCACATGTTAAGTAGTATGGTGCTTGGCAGTGTTTTTCAAACTGTGTATTGCGATCAATCTCTTTCCTCATCCCATTGCCAAAAAAAATACTAGAATAGAAAAATCAAAATCCTTCATTATAGTATGGCTAAAGAAACATCATTTCAGGAAATTATTTCCATTGCGTGTGTGTGTATGTGTGTGTGTGTGTGTGTGTGTGTGTGTACTGAGCCACATAAATATGTTGCTCTGTAAACCATAGTAAAAAAAAAGTTTGGAAGCCTTACTGTGTTGCATCAGCAAGGCTTGGATGTACTTGTAATCACAGACAAAAGTAGTTCATTTATTCGTTGAACAAATATATTCCCATCAAGTCCTAGTAGTAAGTTTTGTATATTTTTTTATTTTATTGATTTTTTACAGAGAGGAAGGGAGAGGGACAGAGAGTTAGAAACATCAATGAGAGAGAAACATTGATCAGCTGCCTCCTGCACACCCCCTACTGGGATGTGCCTGCAACAAGGTACATGCCCTTGACTGGAATCAAACCCGGGACCCTTCAGTCCACAGGCCAATGCTCTATCCACTGAGCCAAACCGGTCAGGGCCAAGTTTGTATTTTTATTACCAAAAATTGATACTTGTGATTTATGAAATAGAGCATGTTATTCTGTTCCAAGCAGATTCTTCCCAGTGTGAGGCTCTTTCAGTCTTTACTGTAGGTCCTTTGCAGTCACTCATTTTTGGAGACAGCAACACCTCCTCCAGTCGCAGCTGTGGCTCTTACTTGGCCTACCATACTTTCTAGCGAACAACTGTTGGGTATTTTGGGGTCCATCAGATGCCCGCATTGTTTTCCCTTTCTTTCTCCCACACAGATTCCTCTAACACAGGTCTTTTTTTTTTTTTTTTAAATATATTTTATTGATTTTTTACAGAGAGGAAGGGAGAGAGATAGAGAGTTAGAAACATCGATGAGAGAGAAACATCGATCAGCTGCCTCCTGCACATCTCCCACTGGGAATGTGCCCGCAACCCAGGTATATGCCCTTGACCGGAATCGAACCTGGGACCTTTCAGTCCGCAGGCTGATGCTCTATCCACTGAGCCAAACCGGTTTTGGCCTCTAACACAGGTCTTAATGACTCTTGGTGATCTGTCCTTATCTGCTTATATTTTGGGATTTTCCACCCAGTTTTATTGCAGAGTTGTCATGGCATTTTAGTTTTTCTGTGTAGTTCCTTTGTCTATTTTTATGTAGGAATTTGTTGCTCCCATCTTCCAGACTTCCCTAGACTGACTTTTTCTAATAATACAACTGGGGTGTCTTACCTGATTAGAATTTGACTGTTTAAGGGATTGGTTGGCTAGTGATTCCTTAGGAGGTTTGTTTGTACCAGTTGATAACCAGGCTGGGGTAGGGAGAAAAGGAAGGAGTTTTGAACCAAGTAAAACATTTGAAACGAAATGTCATTGCAATTCTAATTTTCCTTCTCTTAAACTTTATCAAATTAATGATGTAATCCCATGAGGGGGAAAATCTTCTGAAGGATCAAGGGATCTGAGAAAGTTTCCATTCAGTGTCTGTTATGCATTTTTAGATGTTAATTATATATATATATCTTTATAGAGCAGTCACTTTTACTTTTTGAAATTCATTCTTCTGAATCCTGTCCTAATTATTTGTCTCCTGTTTCAGGTGGAATATTTTAATATAGCTGTATGTTAAGTTATCATTTGAAGAAGTCCGCACTTGAGCTATTATTATTCTGTGTTGCACCAGCCTAATTTTATTGTTAATGTTAACAGTGGGTTTTTGATGTTGCTATCTAATTACTCTGTCTTTATGTAGGGATTCAGAATAACACCAAAACTATACTACCACAGCCTCTTCTGTTTTCCACAAATCCTTGAAGTTGTCAAATATCTTTATTATTTTTTTATCTTCACCTGAAGATATTTTTTCCATTGCTTTTCAGAGAGTGGAGGGGAAAGGGAGAGACACGACTGGTTGCCTCCCGCACAAGCTTCAATGGGATGGAGTGGGAGTGGGTAGTGAACCCGCAACCCAGGTATGTGTTTTTGATCGATAATTGAACCCCCAACCTTTCAGTGCACAGACTGACACTCTAACCACTGAGCAACACTAGCCAGGCAAGTTGTAGAATTTTAAAAAAACTTTGAAGGTACAGCTGACAGAATTTGCTATTAGTTTGGAAGTGAGTGGTGTGAGAGGAAAGAACGAATCAAGCATGACTGAGCACCTGGGAGAGTGGAGTTGCCATTTATAAGATGTGGGGAAAATCAGGAGTTTGGGTTTTAGACATCCAAATGGCAGTTGGACATCAGCATTAGGAGTTCATGAGAGAGGTCCAGGTTGTGGAGATTTATGTTTGAAAATATCAGCATAAATGGGTTCAGGGTCATGAAACTGGATTACCATCGTATTGAGTGTAATGAGTGAAGACAAGAGGTCTAAGGACCAAATTCTGGGACAGGCGTAACATTTAGAGTCTGTGAGATGAAGAAGAACTAGCAAAGTGACTAGCCATTAGTATCAAGAGAGAAGTTTTTCCTGGAAGTCAAGTGAAAAATGTTCCTGGGAAAAAGGGAGTGATCAAATGTATTAAATCATGCTGATAGGTTAAGTAAGATGAATAGTGGGAATGGAATGGATTTGGCAACTCTCTGGGCAACTGGGCCACTGGTCAGCTTAATTAGAGTGGACCTTTGGGGGCAGAAACTTAATTGGAGGATCTTAAGAAAGAATGGAAGGAAGAATGAAGACAGCAAAGATGGGCAACTCTTATGAGGCATTTTGCTTTAAAGATGAGCTGAAAGGGGATGTTAAGCCAAGGAAAAATGGTTTTTGTTTTTTATTTTTAAGGTGACATGTTATAAACATACTAGAGGCCCGGTGCACAAAATTCGTGGGGGGTGAGGGCGTCCCATAGCTTGGCCTGCACCCACTCTAATCCAGGACCCCTCGGGGGATGTCCAATTGCCTCTTGCAATCCAGGACCACTGACTCCTAACCACTTGCCTGCCTGCCTGCCTGATCGCCCCTAACCACTCTGCCTCTCAGCCTGATCACCCCTAACTGCCTGCCTGTCTGATTGCCCCTAATTGCTCCCTTACCGGCCTGATTGCCCCTAACTGCTCCCCTGCTGCCCGAATCGCCCCTAATGCCTCTTCCTTGCCCCACACCTGGGACCCAGGATTCCCTCCTCTGGCCAGTCACAGGCACCCGGGACCCAAGATTCCCTCCCTCTGGCCGGCCGCAGGCACCCAGGATCCGGGCTGGCTTCACCTGGGCCGGCCGCAGCTGCAGGGAACTATGGGCGGACGGCTTGTTCCTCTCCTGGGCCGCAGCTTGACTGGTCCCCATTCCTCTCTTGCGAGCTCATTTGTGCCTGGCTGGTCCCCATTCCTCTCTCCCATGTTGAGTGTCTGAGCTATTACAGTGTGATGACCATTTGCATATTAGCTCTTTATTATATAGGAGGAGGATAAGATGTATGATAGCATACAAACAAGTGTAGACTATATATATCGCTGGTGAGAATAAGGCAATAACGAAGAAAATTTTGATGTAGGAGAAAAGGGGGACAGTTGTTGTAGGAAAGAAGTCTTGAAAAAGCAAAAGAGGATGAGGTCCAGTGCTCAAATAGTTACTCAGATAGGAGTGAGGACAGTATATCTGTAGTAACAGGACAGATGGGTAGAGGTGCAGGTTGGTTGATAGATGTGGTGAGAAGTGATAGAAATAATTTTCTGATTGCTTCTGTTTTCTTAGTGAAGTTGGAAGCAAAGTCATCAGCAAAGAGAATAGGGGAAGAGGTGTTAAGACATTCCAGGAGAGAGGGTAAGATGCACCCTGTATTGTCTAGGACCGTGGTCGGCAAACTGTGGCTCGCGAGCCACATGCGGCTCTTTGGCCCCTTGACTGTGGCTCTTCCTAAGCCTTAGGAGTACCTTAATTAAGTTAATAACAATGTACCTACCTATATAGTTTAAGTTTAAAAAATTTGGCTCTTAAAAGAAATTTCAGTCGTTGTACTGTTGATATTTGACTCTGTTGACTAATGAGTTTGCCAACCACTGGGCTAGGAGAATATGAGAGTAAATGGACCAGGAAACTAGTACAATCATTGGTTTCATTAAGGCCCCACTGAGGTCATGAACTTAAAGT